AGGAAACAGCAATGGCAGGTTTCAAAGGCAATAGAAATCACAGGGAACTGCAAAAGTTCTGTTGAGACACAGGATTGGGGGTGGGAGGTACAGCATGAGTTCGATCCCCAGCCGGCTGGGGAGATTCCCACATGGCACGGCAGACTGCGGGTTTGACGTCATCCCACAGGCGAAGGGAACCATGGAAAAGTTTAAGTGGTGTTTAAAGCAAGTTGGGTACTAGAATTTTGTCTTGAGTGAGCTGTATCTTGGCGTCACTAAGCTACAGAGAGAACACAGGAAAAAGTGCAGTCTATTGAAATGGGTGTTTGAGGTGTCGATCCAGAATGAAGCTGAAGTGTCCTATATTTCCACACAATATCTTTTGGAAAATGCTTGTTAAATTAAATATGTGAGAGACTAATATCACCTTACTGTATCTAGAGAACTTAAAGAAATCCCTAAACATATTCTATGTGTAAGATGTAATTCCAATTTTGTTCTAATTCTTGTTGAGGCCAGCAATTTGACAACAATCTATGGCTCAAGTCTATGAGTTGATGAGATCTTCACGTCTGGTTACTAATAACATCACTTTCATTTTCCAGTTTTCCATTAAAATTTCTGAAATAATAAGGGCAAAACATGAAATTGGGGAGGGATTTGGTGACTGCCTCATATCTTGCTTGAGATCCTGTCTAAGCTGCTGCCGCATCTGGGAGGGCTTCCCTAAAGCACTTGTGAGTTGGTTGCTCTCTTGTTTCCCATACAGTAGCACCCTATACTTTCCTTATTCTGCATCCATCACACTTTAGTGTAACTACTCTTTTATTGCATTTTAAAATTATCTTTCTGCTAGAAGCCCATTCCCTTTTTCTTGAATGTATTTCTAATACTTGTCTGAGTTCTTAGTAGGTGCCCAATATCTTTAGAACGAACAAATCCTCAACTCCGTGAAGTCACTATCATTTTCATTTGAAAGATAAGAAAACAAGCCCCTGTTAATAGTTGCTCAAGGTCAAGATAGGTTAATATTTGCTCAAGATCAAGTCCTAAAATCCGGCTTGTGCCCGGTTCCTCTAACCTTGAAGATTGTTATCTGCCTCCTCTTTTTGTTTTTTCTTTTTTTAAAGATTTATTTTATTCATTTATACAAGCACTGGGGTACAGTCAGAAGCACGGGAGGGTGAGAGAATTCACCAGAGCCAGAGCGGGGAGCAGAACAGGCAGGCAGACCGAAGACACTGCTGAGGGGAGCAGCAGGCGAGGCAGGAGAGGTCTGCTGCACCATGTGGGAATCTCCCCAGCCAGCTGGGGATCGAACTCATGCTGCAGAAGCTGCGGACAACTTCAAAGCACTGTGCTCAAACCGCTGCACCACTGGGGAAGCCGCTCCCTCCTTGTTATCTCTTTACCAGTGACTGTTTTGATGAATACTTTTTAACTGCATGTTTGTGGCAGGTGCAGTGACCACTGTTGGACACCCGTGGTGTTCATATGAGAAAACCGTGACACCTAGGAGTTGTTCAGCAGGACCCTGGATTTTCAGTGTGACTCAGCTGCTGCTTCAGCTCGGGAGAGGGATGTTACTGATGTCAATCAGAAGTTGCACCAGGAAATATGGCCCATATGCATAAAGGATTGTTGGGCATTTAGTAATTTCTTACTTGGCTGTGGGTCCAAGTAAATTAGAAAAGAGAACAGGAATTAAAGAGGAATTACATGTGGCTTGGGACAGCCATTAACTCCCTCCTTCACCCACTTCTGTCTGCTCAAATGTACCCTTCTTAGGGAGGTTGTCCCTGACCACCACTTAACCTTGGCATCTAACTACTCCCTTTGTACTATTCTTTGTACTGTTTATCGTCATCTGATTAGCAATTGATTTTCCTGAGGATATTTATCTTATTTATTGTCAGTCCTTTTCACTGGAATGTAAGTTCAAAGAGGGCAGGATGTATATGTGTTTCATTCTTTACCATTTTTCCAATACCTAGAACAATGCCTAGGACTTAGTAGTTGCTTAGCAAATATTTATTGAATGGACTGTATTCATCATATTATCAATATTTTAAAAGCCATCAATAAGTCAACAGACAATGATAATAATAGTAACAAGTAAAAAGATGCTTCCTTTCTTCCTGGAGGTAAAAATCTGTTGGATTTGATTTTGACTGATGTCACAGTGTCTTAGTATATTGGGCTGTTATAATATAATGCCACGGTCTAAGAAGCATTAAACCACAGAAATTTATTTCTCACAGTTCTGGAAGCTGAAAATTCAAGATGAAGGGCTGACAGATTCTGTGTCTGGTTAGGCTCATAGGAGGCAGCCTTTTCGTTGTAACCTAAATGGTGGAAGGGACAAAGCAATTTTCTCAGATTTCTTTTAAAAGGATGCTAATTCTGTATATTACCTCTTATGGGTCCCGCCTCCTAGTACCATCACCTTGGGTGTTAGGATTTCAACATATGAATATTGGAGTGACACAAACATCCAAACCATAACATTCAGGAAGGGAATTCTGACATACTGCCAACACCTTTGAACAACACCTTTGAAAAAGCAAGTTAATGGTGAGACGTTTCCTTTCCTTACCTACACTCCTCCTGCCTATGCAGTCTGTCCTGATTGTCTGCTTATTTCCAAGTGGTGCCTTAGAAATATTTCCAAGAAAAAATTAAAATAACACCATTTCAAATACCTAAATACCTAAAAATGTGAAATGCAGGTAACTGAATTTTTTTTAAACATTTTGAGCAGTTGAAAATTTTTTTGTACTTTAATATGTTTTGGATCAAAAATTCTATAAACAGGGCAGGGACATCAAGTTTCATTAAAGTCCTGTAATGATAAATTGATTCTATCATGAGGCTGGATGATCTTGGTCATCACTTTTTTTATGTATATTCAAAGGGGTAGATTTATAATAAAAAAGAGATGGGAAGTAAAGGACACTTGTACAAATGGGCAGAAAGAGCTGGCCCCGAAAGGGACAGGTTTGTTAAGAGAGAGGCCTGCATGGTCACAGTCAAGCAGTCTTGGGAGGAAACTGCCTCTGCTGCTTTGCAAAGGGAGAAGGTTGGTGAAGAGAAACACCTGCATAGTCACAGGAGGACAAGACAGTTGCTGTCCTTGGTCATCACTTTTATTTGATCTGTAAGATCAAGATGATGGACTAAATTGATTTTAAGGTGACTTCCAAGTCCAAATTTGCACGAGCAAACCTGCGGAAAATGAATTTTGGGCGGGGTGGGGGTGTCTTTGCATTCCTTTTTTGGGTTCCTTTCTTCTGCCTTGTGGATAATGTGGCTTAATGTATAGGAGAACAACCTCAGAAGATGCCATTGATTAGTGCCCCTTTTTGACATGCTTGCATCTGACAGGTAGTTATTTTGTTAATCACTTTCCTTCAAGATGTTAGCAATTATTTTGTTGTGTTTGATAAGATGGATTTGTGTTGCTTCAAGCTTTCTCAAAAGATGTTAGCAGACCTTATCTGATCTGAGAACAGTATCTGGAAGTTCTTTTCTTCCTTTAGAAGAAAAGTCATACCTTTCTGTTTTTAAGAATCAATCCAATAACTACAAAACAAATTCCAGGGCGTGCTGTGAATGCTGTTGTGGAGAAGACAGTTGCCTCTGTTCCTGGAAGCTGTCGGGTTGAGTTGAACTGGAGTTGAAAATACAATGCAGGAATGAGTGCTTTGGGACTATAGGAGCAATAAATGATTCAATGTAGGGTAAGTGAAATTGGTCAGGCAAGTTTTACGCCACTGGCCTCTATGGCTACCACCTGCGGCTGTGAATGAAGAAGGTGCTTGGGAGTGAAGGCCCAGGGCACGCACGCCTGGTGGTGGACACCTGAAGTATGGTGTGGGCATATGTAAGTGGGTACACCTGAGCCTGGAGGCCTAGGCTCTGAGGGTGGCGTCACTCAGAGACAGGACATCTACAGCAGAATGGCTGAGGAATGGATACAACGGAATGGCTATGAAAGGACAAGTGACAACAGAGAGGCAGGACCATGAGAACACCAGAGAAAGCCCAGAAAAAAGCATACAGATTTGCCTCCTGGCCCCCTGGCCTCCCTGCCTTGCCAGCCTGTGAGCTTACCCCACCACAATAGGCATAGAAAGTGCATTTAAACCTGAAAAATCCACCGAAGGCTCTGGAACTCTCCTTTATCTCTCTGGCCTAATCTATAGAGAACCTGCCCTGTGCATGCTTGAAAAACACTCAACCAAAGAAACTATCCTTCTTGTGCCAGTTCTCCAGGATTTCCTATTACCCAAATTGTCAATTTTTAGTTGTTAGTCTAGTGTAGGGGAGAGTATTGGGATATGTGAGAGGGTGTCCCCCTGATTACCTATCCTGTGGTAAACTTTATTGTCAGAAAAGTAAGTTGTTATAATCATATTGTTACTAGATTCCAATGAGCAGATGAGACGCTTTTAGAATTTACGCTTAGCTTCTTACAAGTATGTGCTACCATACTGATCATAGGGACCACACTGTGTACCACACCCCTGACTGATTTATGTTATAATTCAAAGTTTTTACCTCTTGATACCCATCACATGGAAAACTATTTAAAATAGAGATATTTATTTGGCTAGTCAATATAACTTTTCTTTCTTGAGTTAAATGTAGTTGTTTCTATTATATCCTGAAGCATCTGGTTTGCTTAGTGGCGTCACGTGAGCACTGCCACAGGCCTGAAATGTCCCAAGAGGGTAAGAATAGCCACAATGAGCGATGATTTCTTCTGTCTCCTTGTCACTGCAGTTGTCAGGCATGCTTTACCACAGAGGCAAACAGCTCAGGGCTGTCTCAGCTGGCAGACTGAAAAATTGACCTCCTACTCTTGGGCTTGAATCATCCTTTTCAGATCTCCAGCTCTAACCTTTTAAGTCCTCTGTAGCTAAGATACATTTATTCCTGCAAAGATTTCCCACCTCCTTGCAGAACACAGGCTTCCAGCCTCTCCTGCAGCCCTGAGTCAGTGACACTCTAGTAGCATGGAGCATGTGGACTTGCTGGGGTTCCTCATTGTCACATTAAATTGCAATGTGACCTTTGTGGGTGAGTAGAGGAAACACCTTCAAAGCTCTTATTCTGGTTTTGTTCTTGCCATTTTGTCTGTTTGCCCCCTCCCCCTCCCCACCTCCCCTCTCCCCACCAAGAGACAGGCATGTATGTTGCTGGAGAGAAGGCAGCTGTCCCTGCAAACTGTTGTCTAATTCCTCCTATTCCATAATCACTTAAGGAAGTCTTGGGTGTGAGTGTCATTCTCGATGATTGTGTGTTGAGTCAAAAGACTCGAATAGGTAGAAGGAGTATTTTTGTGTAACTCTTCTCTGATTACTTTATCAGGAAAATGATGAAGAGAGAAATTATGATAGAGAGAAATTAATGATCGAGAGAAATTAATGCCTGACTATGCTTTCTTCTTGTTCATGTTTTTTAGGGTTTACCCTGAAAACTAAATTCATAAAGATTGGTAACTTCTCTTGCATATGTTAAACCAAACCCCACTTTTAGTTTTTTAACAAAGAAAATAATTAAAACGTTCGCATTTCATGTGGACAAGTCAAATTTTCAGAGCAGAATGGAGTCCTAGAAAACAAGATTGCAAAAAGGATTAAGAAGTGGTTAATTCTTCTCCTCTTTATTATTTTGTAGAATTAACACAAAATCAACTTAGTTTTAAATGTTTGAGGCAATAAGTAATGAAATTCTTTGAGTTTAATTGCCTTCATTTATAATAGTTTTGTTTCTCTGATATCAGATGATGTTTTCTGTATCTCCTCATAAAACAAGTATTTGTAAGTTATTTTGATGAATCTTAAACATGTTCCAAAATAACTGACTCATGATATGAAAATAGGACTTTGAAGCTATTTTGATTTCTTAGATTGGTTTCACTTATTCATTGATAAATTGAAGAAAGACAAACTTTACTGATTCATAATAACTGGTAAGAGGGGGAATGAATTTTCAATTATTAAAAAATCTGAAAAATTGAATGTTGTTAAAGAAATTTGATTTCAAGGACCCTAAAGAAACATTTAATACAAGTTCTATGATTAAATAAAGGATTTGTGGACCATCATCATAAATAAATAAGGCTTATTGAAATGAACAGCTTCTATTTGTTGCACACCATTGCAAGAATGTGCCCTTTAAAAAGGTAGTTCTCCAAGAAGAGTAAGATCTATTTTATTTTATTTTTATTTTTATTAATTTTTTTGTGGAACCCTCGCCGGTGGCCGGGGAATGAACTGGTGCTGCAGAGGCTGCGGGCAGCCTCGCAACCCAGCGCTCAACCGCTGCGCCACCAGGGGAGGCCCGAGTAAGATCTATTTTAAGCATAAATTCTCTCAGCCCAGCTTTCTTTCTAGATCTTTCTTCAGGAGCATCAACAAAAGTATAAATAAGTAGTGTAAAATTAAACATTTTTAGTCTCTAATGCTTCTTTAAAATCTGCTACTCTGAAAGCATTGCATAAAGTAGTTCAGCAGAGTGTCAGAAACAATGTAAATGCTGAATATATATTTGTCAAATGAGTCAACTTGCAATGCTGTTGCTGTGACTGAAATACATACTTATTGACTTCAAAGTTCTCCAGTCTCTCTCCCCACAAATGCTTTAAATCTGTTTTGAGGACATACTAATGTGGTGGCTTGCCCTTCTTGCTTCCTCTTTTCCAGGGAAGATCTGGCTTATTTTCATGATCCTGCTGAGGATGGGGGTAATCATCCTGGCAGGGTCTCCAGTATACCAGGACGAGCAGGAGAGGTTTGTGTGTAATACTCTGCAGCCAGGGTGCTCCAACGTTTGCTATGACATCTTTTCTCCAGTGTCCCACTTGAGATTCTGGTTGATCCAGAGCGTGTCTACTCTTCTCCCTTCCACTGTGTTCAGTATCTATGTACTCCACAGAGGAGCCATGCTTGCAGCCCACGGGCCCTGTGGGCCAGATGGCAGTCCTGGGGCTCATGAGCCCTCCGATCGGACCCCGGGGGACAGGCGCTGCTCTCAGTCCTGCAGGGAGGGGAGTCATCTGATCGTGCCAGACTTATCCTCTGGTTACATTGTCCATCTCTTCCTTCGGACCGTGCTGGAGGCAGCTTTTGGTGCCTTGCAGTACCTCTTCTTTGGGTTCTTGGTCCCAAAGAGATTCTCTTGCACTCACTCTCCTTGCACCAGTGTGGTGGACTGTTACATTTCTCGGCCCACAGAGAAGTCCATCATGATGCTTTTCATCTGGGCGGTCAGTGCACTTTCCCTCCTGCTCAGTGTTGCTGACCTCATCTGCAGCTTGCAAAGGAGGATGAGCAGGAGGTCAGGCCCCAAGTGTGTACCCAAAAGCATCTCCACCAGGAAGATGGCGGCACATGGCAGGTGGGAAGCAGAGGAGGTGCCCACTCACCCTGAGCTGTGGATGGGAGGGGAGGGGCCCGAGAGTCGCAGTGCTAAGTCTGCTGTGTCGGGGCGGACGGAACTTGCAGATGAGGAGGAGAGTGAGGCCTTGTCCTCTGTTAGCAACAAGCCGACTGTGACTCGCAAAAAACTGGCGGACAGGCCTCAGAAAGAGGCCACCCAGGAGCCAAGAAGCGAGGGCCCTTCTAGGGCACAGGAGCATCCCTCAGTGCCTCAGAGTCAGCTGGCCCAGCACTATCGATCCAGTCACCAGCAGCCCCTTGACTGGCTGGCCAGCTCGGGGAGTGCTGCCCACCTGAGAACCAGGAAGTCTGAGTGGGTGTGAGCAGGAATGTTGGGCAGCACAGAGGAGCCCAGCTCTCCCCCTGGGAGCGCTACTGATCTGTTCAGATGGAGATGCCCAGCCACTAAGATGCAGGCTCACCGTGGCACATGCAAAATCGTATCACTCGGCTGTGTTCTGGAACATCAACAGGCAGAAAGGGGAGCCGACTTGGAGATACATGGATTTTGTGGGGGACTCTGATAAACCCTCAATACAGCTTTAATTTAGATCACACTTTCTGCTGAAAAAAGTATTTGACATTCAAACGCAGACTGGAAGCTAAGATGATTCACTGGAGAGAGTCAGATTACCGATGCCAGGCTCGGATTCTGTTGTCTCATTTTTTACCATTAAGCAATGAAGCAATGTGTGCTTATTGTAAGCATGTTCTTTTACATTAATAGAGCTCATTTGTGTTTTTTTGTGAATTATTACATACTTTTGTTTTTTGTTTGATGTTTCTGTTTACATAAAAGAAATATGTTACATGCATGGCATCAATACAGAGATATTAACTCAGCTTCTCCAAACACCTTTAATAAAATGAATGCTGACTAAATTGTGATACACTTCATTCTTCATTGTGTCATAGGACAAATGACAGATGCAGAAAACATACAGAAAAAACAATGTTGGAGGGTGGTGGGGGTGTCATTGTAGATTGTTACTATATAAGAGTGTACAGCTTGTGGGGTGGACCCTTGGCTTGCTTCATTGTCCTGAGTGACTTCCAGAGTTGCTCTAAGAAGAGGCTGGTAGTTACAGGGTTGCCACAGCTTATCTAGTGCAGGTTTGTCTGTCTTTGGAGAGCTTTACAGTCAAGTTTTCCTGAGAGTCTTGGAGTTGCTGTGAGCATATGAAAAACACTGTGAGAGCTGTGGCCGGAGAGGCCTGTGTTCACGTTTTTTGTGTGTGTGTGCGCTAGAAATAGACACTGAACTTGGATCTTGGGATAAACTTCCATTAATGCTCTGTGCACTTGGCATTATTCTGGTTTTAGTCCAAGTGCTGCCCAAGTTAGAGCTATAATGCCACCTTGAAAGGCCAGTTGGGAAACACAGCCTAGCACCAAGATCTGCTCTGGGACCAAGTAAACCTGCTCACCTTCATCTAGAGAAGAGTGAGAGTCATCTGGGTTTAATACCAGAACTGATGAATATTCTCTCCTCTCCAAATATGAGGTGGCTGAGAAAGAGGATTTGCCCTTTGCTCTAGCAAATAATCAAATGGTGAAACAATGTGCTCATGAAACAAATGAATACTTTCAGCTGTTCTAAAGAAAACCTTGGCAATGAGGGCCTTTCTGGTGGTGCAAGGAGTTAAGACGCAACCTATGTAGCTGTCCACAGACTCTGTTCTCGTGTCCAAAGCATGTGTTTGATCCCCGGCCAGGGAGAAACCCACATGGCACAGCGGACCTCTCCTGTCTCACCCGCTGCTCTCCTCAGTAGTGTATTTCATCAGTCTGCCTGTTCTGTGCCCCACTCTGTCTCCAGTGAAGACTCTCACCCTCCACACCTGTGGCCTGTACCCAGCTCTTGTATGCATAAATAAATAAATCTTAAAAAAAAAAAGAAAACATTGGCAATGAAATGTCTACCAGAATGGAGAATAACATCCTGCTTGTTATCTCTATAGGATCTCAAGGAAATTGGTTTAAATGTAAAAAACTATTTGAATGAATGTGTCTATTTTGAACATATTAAGAAATCCCCCTTCCTCCCCTCCTCTCTCTCTCTCTCTCTCTCTCTCTCTCTCTTTCTCTCTCTCTCTTCCCTCCACCCAGTACAATGAAAACTAGGAGCCATGGCTAAGTCCCCTTTCTTCAAAATTTAGATCTCTGTCCGCCGCACAGTAAGTATACTGAATAAATGTGATTTGAGTATTCAGGGGCAAATCTTATAGCAAGGAATTCTGATGGACTTCCCCAGGTTGGAAATAGTTTTAGATATATAAGAATTCTCTAGGGCTTCATTATTTTTAAAAAAATAAGCTCCACAGAACGCTAATATGAGCCTTGATAATGTTAAGTGATGAAAGGAAATCAGCTCGACAAATCTTGGAAGTGAAAGGAATGTGGAAAAGGCTAAACCTTAGAGAGCAACAGGCAGACATTTTAACTTCCCAGTTTCCATAGGCACAGAGACCTGATTCTGCAGTTGTTGAGCCAGGGGTGAGGGAGGAGCCAAGTGGGGACAGCCATTTTTGTAAACATTATTGGGGTGGCTGGCTCATGTTTGCGGCACTGTTGATATTCCTCTATTCTGGAGTTCCAGATCCAAGACTCTGCAGTCTACCTGCTATCAGTTGACTTCACAAGGTCCCAAGGGGTGGGGCGGAGGTGCACATGTCAGAGCATTGGTGTCCAGCTTGTGAGGAGCACCCCAGTTCCTCCACGTGTATCTCTCCCAGTAAAGGGTCTGTGCCTACACACTGTTTAGCTTTCCTCTTCCTAGTGCTGCTAAGTGGCAGCCTCTTGCTTCCCCAACCACAGCCTCCAGGCATTTTGCTCCACCCACCTCTCATTCAATGAAACGTGAATCTCTGTGTCCCTATGGTGAGTTCTGTATTTTCTCTGCTGCCCAAGAGTTATTCCAGTTTTGTCCCAAGTAATGGAATTCTCTGCATGTAGTTCCTGAATGGTAACCTTATATGATCATTTCAGGAGTGAAGCAAGGGACTTCTTCTTATGCCATCTTGGTCAGTTTGCTGTTGCAATAATCTGTTGATTGGCATCTACATTATTCCCACATCTTGGCTATTGTAATCCTATTATAATTGGTGTGCATATATCTTGTCAACATCTTATTTTATTTCCTTTGGGTATATTCCCAAAAATGGAATTTCAGGATTGTAGAGTTGATCTACTTTTAACTTTTTGTGGACTCTCCATATTTTTCCAGTGTTCTGACTAATTTACATTCCCACCAACAATTCGTAAGAGTTCCCTCTCCATCACATCCTTGCCAGAGTCTGTTGTCTCTTACCTTCTTAATGATAGTCATCACCACACCTGTTAAGATGTGACGTGCTATCTCATTATGGAGTTGATTTGAGTTGCCAGTCAGTCTAACATTAATAGGGGTTCATTTATTGGGCCCTTCCATCCTGCTAACCACCTAAGCATGTTTAGGTAATGAAAATCATCAGAACAGGAGAGGTCTGTGCATCCTGGGAAGAGCTACCATGAAAGAGAGGGGAACTCCATAGAAGGTGAGAGGGAATTATGAGGATAATTTGCTGACTTTACACCCTACTGAGTGATGGTGGTGCTGATTGCACAGACATTTTGGTCACATGACATGACCCAACCAATAAGGAACAAAATTGTAGATGAGGCTTTGAGAGTTCAGGAACTTGCTTGGCTGTGGTAGTTAGCATGACAACATTTGTGGCAACATGCAGATGGAAACCATCCTTCTCTTTGCTCTCATACAGGACACCTCAAATTGCCCCTGGTTTTGTAACTTATGTTCTGAAGTCTTTTCCAGCCTTTTAAAGGAAGGAGAAAAAAAAATCATAGACTATCTCCAACAGGTTAAAAAAAAAAAGGTCTAATTTTAATCTAATATTTAACATCAAGTGGCTATTGTCCTCTTTTCAAAATTTGAATCTGCTTCACGTCGCTGCATCTTTTGCACACTGGATGCACAGAAAGCCATCCGGTCCCCCACTGCATAAGGCAGAAGCAGTGTTAGGAAGGTAATTGCAGCCCCAATCTGCGACACTTAACAAGGAAGTTTCAAAAAGTGCAGCCTTCTTCTGTGATGATTCAGGGAGCCTTCCATCCTGGCTCCATCACCTTCCACCCACCGATGCCAAGATTGCTGTGGCAGGGACAAAGCAGTTTCCTATGGGCTGGGTCTGAGAGGGTGCCGGTGTGTCTGGCCATGTTCTGTGGCTAGAGCTCAGCTAGAACTGCTCCAAAGAATATAAAAGCAGCTCTAGTTATGTCCCAGGAGAAGGAAGAAAATTTGGGGTCAATAGCTAGCTAGTGTTTGCCTCAGAGAACAACAATTTTCTAGGCACTGTACCATAAAGAGGCATTTCCTAGATCTGACTGGCCAACAGATTGGTCTCAGAGGAGGGGAGGCCTAGCAAAGACATTAGCTCAAGTCCCTGGATGTCCTGCAGCTGGAGAGAAGAGAAAGGCAGTGAGAAGGAATAAGAAAACAGACTGAACTGGGCCAAGAACCTAAATTTCTTGTACTTCAGGACTATCCTCTTAATAACAGTCAAAGAAGAATTTATCTTAAGTGTATGTGTGCACATGTGTTTTAATTTAAATCTTTATTCTTTGCACAGTAAGAAAGGCTCACTAGCTATTATCTAGTCGAATTTTGCAGGAACTTTAATTCAGAAATCCTCCCAGCTTACTGTCCAGGTGGATTCTCAAGTGACCCTGCAGTAACAGAAACCCACTGGTAGAATCCAAATGCTGAGCTGGTCTGTACCACAGCTGGCTGTCTACTGAGACAAACATGAAAGAAAGATTATGAGGATCAGTGAGATTATGCGTATACGTAGTCAAGAAAAGTGTTATTTATGGAATCAATAAATGTGACTCTTTTTGTAGAATTTTTAATCTACTGTGAGTACCTATTTTGAATTTTCTGAGTGTAAATTTGGTTTCAGAAGTGAGGAGGGGGTGGTGCTTTGCAGATGAGGAGAAGAGGCATCTGAGCTTCTCAGCACACTCTCCAGGGACACCCTCCTGCCCATAACTTTAGCATTCCAGCTCCGGGGGCTGGATCAGCTGCACATTCTGTAAATCCTGCCAGTTGTATTTTGGTTGTGCTGTGGGATAAATGTTTTATAGAAACGAAACAGATGTCTCTTCTCCCCCACCCCCATGTGAAATGTATGTGTGTATCTTTTCCCTCCCCCTGTCAATCACAGAGTGAATCTCTTCCTTGGGGAACTTTCTGCTCTGTGCTGTGGCCTGAGAAAATATATGAATGGTGAAAATAGAGCAGAAAGAAGTTACTAAATTTTCTTAT